AGACGTCTGCCTAATATGTAATATAGCCCAGGTTCAAATCACACACACACACACACACACACACACACACACACACACACACATATACTATATATAAATAGTATTTTATATAGGTATATATAAGTCATTATTTTCTTCCCCCCTCACCAAAAATAGAGTTTTGTCTTCAAAGTAGAGATGGAGGGGGAGGGAGAAGAGGCGTAGTTTCCCAGGATCTGTGCATGCTATGGATGCCCCATTTGAGAACTTGGATGTGCCCAACCTGATCACTTCTGGATGCAGGCAACCTCTGCTCTCACCTCTGTCACAATAGTCTCGTGGAAGATGCTTCGGTTGTACACCCATCCGTCTCTACACGGTTCGGTCTCCATCTGGGTATCGTTCCCGGCGGTGCCGTTCGAACGCCACCATGGCTTCTGGCGGAAACGGTGGCATTCCGCCGGCTTTGGGTTTTCGCCCATGGGAAGGGAGACCCCAAGGAGAGCCTCGTCTTCGGAACTCTGGTTCCTGGGAGCAGCGTCGCGGACAGTTGCGCAGTAGTGATCCGGTGTCCCCGCTGTAAAGTTCTGCAGCATCATATGACAAGCCATCATAAGCACCGGGATGGAGATGAGAGACACGTAGACGATTTGGAAGCGTCCCATGCTGCCAACGTGTTCTAAGATCTCTGTGAAGCCCATGACGGAGCCTTGGAAGGATCAAAATTGGAGGAACCCTGAGTGAGAAGGTGGAGGAAAAGGATGTAGCACTTGGACCTCTTCCTGGTAGATGTCTATCCAACCTTGCATTAACACTGGTTTTTTTAGGAAGGGCCTTAAACCAGTTTCTCCAAAGGGACTTAAGCTAGTTTCTTCAAGGGACCTTCAACCAGATCTCTGAAGGATCTTTAACCAGTTTCTCCAAAGAATCTTAAACCAGATCTCCAAAGGACCTCCAACCCAGTTTCTCCAAAGGACCTTTAATCAGATCTCCAAAGAACCTTCAGCCCAGTTTCTCCAAAGGGTCTTAAACTAGATCTCCAAGGACCTTCAATCAGATCTCCAAAGGCTCTTAACTTGCTCTCCGAAGGACCTTCAACCAGATCTCCAAAAGACCTTCAATCAGATCTCCAAAGGCTCTTAACTTGCTCTCCGAAGGACCTTCAACCAGATC